TAGTTAATGTACTTAGCTAATCGATTTGTGTTGTAATAGCTTAACTTAGCGTAGCTTAGCCTATTTATTTGGACCCTCCATCGAGAGGGCAAATGTTGTAATAAAGGTGCGTGCGTGCGTGTGTGCATGTCTTCCAACCCCACGTCTTTCTCCATTTTATTTAGCCGCTTCGAGTGGTTAGATTAGGGCATATTTTGATTAGCATACCTTATGCTTGCATGCGTGCATCATTCATTCGTCTTGCATGCACCGGGCTCGACGCATCATTCAAACCACATTGTATTTCAATACACTTTTCTGAATACGTGTTTCAAAGCATGTTACCAAGTGTTGCATTCATATGCCATTCTATATAGCCGAGCCTATTTTAGTTGCATTTTTGCATGTGTTGCATTAGGCATCTTAACATAGTTAGGATCATGCATGATTACTAACTAGTTTCTGTTTTGGCTCGGAGTACACTGTAAGTGTTTATGCTTTAGTATCCTTATATGTGTGTAAGTGACTACCATGTTTAGCATGTTTGCCATGAGGCTATTTGCTTAATTGCTATAACTGCATGAATGTCTGTGGATGAGGGCTTCATTACTTGAAATGGAAAAATTCATCAAAATGTGAGTTTTAAGCCCACTTGAAGTGGCAAATCATCATGTTTTAAGCCCACCTTGTTTGGTGGCAAATCCGTGTTTTAGCCTAATTGCGAGTAGCATCTTCAAATCATTTTCGAAAAAACAAACATGACATGTTTTGTTCCAAATCAAGTGATTTAGTCTATACTTGTATGCTGCGCGCATCACATAGTAAGGTTAACTAATAAACAGGAATAAGAACACATGTGTTTTCAAAAACAATATATCATTCTTAGTAGAGGCCGATCTTTGATCGGGCGAGGGAGGGTGCTCATGTTATGACCTTCCCTTTTCGTACCCAAGTTCCCGAGACGAGGCAACTTTGGTGATGACGGACACGTGGCCTTAGGCACGAGTTAGGGTTTCCTAAATTTCTCAAAACAAAATATTTAGGTGGCGACTCCGAAATCTGGCAAAGCAGTCCATGTTTGGCGCTTTTTGATAAAAATCGATTTTCCAAAATAATTTGCCGGATTTGGACTCTTTGGTGATTTATCAGTCTTACATTGCACTTTGTGAGATTAGATTAAGGACCGTGACAGGAGTTCGAACTGTAGTAGCTAGAACCCAATTCGTGCCCTCTCCGAAAGGGGGGCTCGCGGAGAGAGTTCGGGGCGGTCTACATTGGTCTCCTTATGCGGCTTTGTTCTCCCAAATTCCTACCTACTTCCTTCTTCGTGTGTTTGGGTCTGCCTGTTTTGTCCTTCTTCCCTGCAAAGATAGAACCAAACTTAGTGTCTGGTCTGTCCTCTATGTCTTTTTGGGTTACAGTCTTACTCAGAAAGGCTACCACTGTTACCATCCCGTCTCTCGTCGCCTTTATGTCTCCCGTCATGTTGCCTTTCTTGAGTCTGTCTTACTTTCAGCTTCCTCCTCTCATTGCTCTAGTTTCCAAAGAGGATTTGGTTCATATTGACTTCTTTCCTTCTGAGGTCCCGTCTGATGAGTACATCTCCACTGTTCCTCTTGAACCCATTCATCTTTTTTCGTCTGCGTCACCTATGGCTCCTTCTCCTCCTTTGGCTTCTTCTTCCCCTCCGTTGTTGGTCTGTTCTCGTCACCAGGCTCCTTCACTGCCAGTTGTCTCTACTCCTGTTGTTGCTCTTTCTGCTTCTGACGACTCTGATCCTACTGCACACCAATATCCTACTAGTGAACATCGTTCTCCAAACAGGTTGGGTTGGTCTAATACATGTTTTTTTGCTTCCTATCGTACCTTTTTGTCTGTTTTTCATTCTTTTTCAGAACCACAGTCTAACAAGGAGGCCTATCAGGATCCTAATTGGATTCAAGCTATGGATGATGAATTGTTTTCCTTACAAAAGACCAACACTTGGGAGTTGGTTCCTTTGCCTGTTGGTAAGAATCTGGTTGGTTGCAAATGGGTCTATAGAGTCAAGATTCATTCTGATGGTTCTCTTAAGCGCTACAAAGCTCGCTTTGTTGCCAAGGGTTTCTCACAGGAGTATGGTATTGATTATGAGGAGACATTTGCCCCTGTTGCCAAGATGACTACTGTCCGTACCTTGATTTCTGTTGCTGGTGTTCAACATTGGCCTCTCTATTAGATGGATGTTAAGAATGCTTTTCTTAACGGTCATCTCATTAAGGAGGTCTATATGCGTCCTCTCCCTAGTCTTCTCCACTTCCCTGAGCAGGTTTGTTATCTTCGACGTGCTCTGTATGGTTTGAAGCAATCTTCTCGTGCTTGGTATGATCGCTTTCATACTGCCGTTACCAAGCTTGGGTTTCATCCTTCTGCTTCCGACTCTACTTTGTTTCTAAGATATACCTCAGCTGGTTTTGTTGCTCTCCTACTCTATGTAGATGATATGATCATCACTAGCTCTGACTCTTCTGCTCTCTCTCAGGTCAAGCAACATCTCTTCTGCACCTTCGAAATGAAAGATCTGGGTCAATTGCGGTATTTTCTTGGTATAGAGGTTGCCTCTTCTCCAAAGGGCTATTTTCTATCTTAGGCTCTAACTGGGATAACATCTATGTAGATGATATGATCATCACTAGCTCTGACTCTTCTGCTCTCTCTCAGGTCAAGCAACATCTCTTCTGCACCTTCGAAATGAAAGATCTGGGTCAATTGCGGTATTTTCTTGGTATAGAGGTTGCCTCTTCTCCAAAAGGCTATTTTCTATCTTAGGCTAAGTATGCTAATAAGGTTATTCATCGTGTCAATCTTACTGATACTAAGGTTTTTGATACACCTATTGAGCTTAATGTGAAGCTCAACTCTACTAATGATGTCCCTCTAGCTGATCCCATGGTCTATCGCGAGTTGGTGGGTTGTTTAGTTTATTTGACTGTCACTCGCCCTGATCTTGCTTATGTTATTCATGTGGTTAGTCAGTTCATTTCTGCTCCTCGCTCTACCTATTGGGCTACTTTGGTTTGCATTATTCGCTATTTCCGGGGTACCATCTTTCAAGGCTTGTTGTTTTCTTCTCTTCTTCCTTGGATTTGGTGGCTAATGCTGATGCTGATTGGGGCTGGTGATATGACTGATCGTAAGTCTATTTCTGGTTTCTATCTGTTTCTTGATGCTTTCTTGATTTCTTGGAAAAGCAAGAAACAAACCATTGTTGCTCATTCTACTACCGAAGCTGAGTACCGTGCTATGGCTGATGCTACTGCTGAGGTTGTCTGGCTTCGTTGTCTCCTCTCTGACTTGGACATTCCTCAGTCCTCTCCAACCTCTCTCTACTGTGACAACCGAAGTGCTATTCAAATTGCCCACAACACTATTTTCCATGAACGAACGAAGCACATTGAGATTGATTGTCACTTCGTCCGTTGGCACCTACAGTCTAGCTCTATCTCGCTTCCTTTTGTCCCTTCGCCTCTACCGCTTGCTAACTTCTTCACCAAGACTCACTCCACTACTCGTTTTCAATTTCTTCTTGACAAACTCTCCGTGTTTTTGGCTAAAACACCTTGAGTTTGAGTGGGGTGTGAGAGTATATTTGTATATATTAGGCATTATTGTGCTGACTGTATTTTTCTTTTTTTTTCCCATTCTTGTACTTCCTTTTTGGTTAGTCGTTAGGGAAATATAAACTAGTCTTGATGTAATTGATACATGATTTGTATATACAGAAAACAATTCACAAATCTTACACATCATGCATAACAACATTGACCATGAAAGATGACAAGAAGTAGCATAATCTTGACAACTTGTTAGATTACTGAAAACTAGGACATAGGAGGTCTCAACTTTTTTTTCTTTTCAAAAGAGCACATGGAGTAGCACCAATTCTTTGTTAGATTACTCTGGTGTTTAGCTTCTTTCTACTTTATTTGTGTGGCTTGTTTTAGTTTGCCAGTATACTTATCTACTTTGGATTTCAAATAATTTATAGAGAAATTAAAGTTCCAACCTCTATAAGAGGCTAATAGACATTGTATGGAGGGCAAAACTCTCTTCCATATCTTAAACTATAGCTTGAATTGTTCATATGAATACTTAGAAGCTTCATACATGGCAAGGTGTAGGACCCCCTCTCATTCCATAAGCAAGTATAAGCCATTTTCAATAAGAAGAAGATAAGCAGAGCAATGAGAACCGAAAATTCTATTAAATCATAAACTCTATTCAAATGAGGATATAAGCCAATTTCTATGAGTTTGAAGAGTTATTTTTTTAAAAGAAGAAACGGTTTACAAACAAACTTTTGAAGCATTAAAAGTAAAGATGCTTTTAGATAACTAAAGAGAAAGCAAAAGACTTGGTAGATCTTGTTCTATAATGCCGTATATCATTTGAGACAGAAACTTGGAATGAAATATAGAGTAGAAACCCAACCAATTAACTACAAAGAGACTAACTGAAGTAATTGCTGAAAAGAAAACGAAGTTCAAAGACAAAAAAAAAAAAAAAAAAAAAAAAAAAAAAAAAATTTAAATTTGATTAGAATTTAGAAAAGCCTTCTTAGATTGAAAAAAAAAAAAAAACAAAACAAAAGAATTTAAATTTGATTAGAATTTAGAAAAGCCTTCTTAGATTGCAAAATTAGAAAAGCGAGATCACCTTAAAAAGTAAGGTTTTTATATAATTATTATACGAAACAAAACAAAGAAAGACAAAAAAGAAGGAAAAGAAAAAGGGAAAAAAAAAAATCCACCATGCTTTCCTGATTAGTTTTTAAAATAGTTGTAGTCAATAATACATTGGTAGAACACTCAGTGACATGCCTTCTAGACCACAATTGGCAAATTATAGTGGCTATGTCAAAAAGATTTTATAAAAAAGTGCTTCCACCCAAGTCTGTTCTTTTTTCTTTTTGTTTTGTTTTCTTTTGTGCACTAAATACTTTAAAAAAATTAATGGAGTAAGAAAAAGTAGACACGGAGAACTGAAAGCAAAAGACAAGCATTTTACATTGGTTCTGTCACAATGAGTGACTACAATTTCTCACTACAATTATTAGCTCAAAAATTAAATCCCAATCAAAGGTTTTTCCCTTTCCTTTCTTCTCTCTAAACAACTCAAATAACCAAACAGATCATTTGGTCATCTCACCACAGATCTCATCAATACAATTGTATTTTACATTGAAATTCTAATCAGGTTATGGTTTGGGATGAACAAACAATTCAAATCACCAGTTGCATTCGCCATCAGATAACAAATTAGTCAACAATGCACGAAAATGGCAGAGCAAGAATCACAGAAAGATGAAAAAGGCATTTGATTTGTTATATACCTAGAACTAGTTTAGTTTGATAATGACCATGATAGTTCTCTTTCACGCAAATCCAAACAAAACTAGTTTATGCTCAACCATCCCTGTCTATGCCATTTAACGAATGCGGTTCAAGTGAGCAAACAGCTCGGGGTTTGCCTTGGGTGCAGGTTTTGCCACTTCAGGAGTCCCAAAAGCATTCCAAAATCTCAGAGTTTCATCCCCTGCAGCAGATGCCACGGTACATCCATCTGGGCTCTGAATCAAACACGACGCAATAAAGAAATCAAAATACAATTCACAAATCACTATGTTTCAGAAATATAAAACTTTCTGGTTAAATTGAATTGTATTGTACCTGAGACATGAAAAGAACTCTGGATGTATGGCCAGTAAGCTCTGCTATTTTCACCATAGATGGGTACTTCCAAAGAGTAAGCTGATTCTGAGTAAAACCATGAGAGCTAAGTAATTCACGCTCATTCTTGTTCCACAGGAGAGCACAGACCTGTGAGCCAGTGTCAACCGAGTTCAAGCATGCACCCGTGTGGGTGTTCCAAAACTTTATGCACCTATCACCTCCACCTCCACCAGAGGCCAGCAAGTTACTCTGGAAAGGACACCAAGCAAGGGCTTTAACAGCAGCTGTGTGGTCTTCAAGCCTATGAAGCCACTGTGTTGCTGAATTATTAGAAGAAGCCGTGGATCTGTCCCATATATGTAGGATATTATCATTTCCCCCACTCGCCAACTGTTGCCCTGAGGCTGACCATTTTAGTCCACAAACTTCTTGGTGGTGTCCCCCGTAGGTTTCGACAATATGTGATCGTACTCTTACATCATTGTTGATTATCTGACCATCCATTCCACCAGTAGTCAAAATATGATTGTTCCAATCCAGGGACCCAACTCGTGATTGGTGGCCACCTCTCAAGGTTCTTAGCTGCAAGCAAGCATTTGACAGTAACCACATTCATTAAGCAAGAACTAAATTCATGGAAATGAAAAAGGTAACTACAATAGCATAGAATTGTTCATACCTGCCGATTAGCTGTAGAATCCCAAAGCTGGACATCCGAATTTTTCAAGCCAACGGCAATGTGGCGTCCATCAGGAGCCCATTTGACGCTGGTCACAGGGCCATTTTCATCATCAATGGTGACGAGTTCTGAGGTGGCACCATCAGTAGCATCCCATAGATACACTGTGCTTCCAAGAGCAATAGCAAGAACATTGCTACTACCCCAATCTAATAAGTTCAAGTAGTAGTCATCCACCAGGTCAGGAGCATCCAATGTTCTTTCCGATGTCTGTATGATCAAAGTGAAAATACAGAGTAAGGAATAAACAACATGAAGACCAAATGCATGAGCAAGATGATATTTTTATCTGAAATTATTAAAAAAGATGAAATTACAATTGTTCATAATTTTAAATGAGTTTCAAGTCCAAATTTTTGTATGTATCATCATCGTACTTACTTACTTGGGTCAAAAAAACCATTCCAAAGTCCAAATCCAACCTAGGCAACCAATTTAGATGCTCAATCATAACAAAATGCTAAAGACCCCAAATTTCCTACCAAACACTCACATGAGTGTGAGTTCAACATATGTGTGGGTCTCACACACATGCCTATTTGGTAGAAAATTTTGTATCTCTAGCATTGCTCTAATATGAAAACAGGAAATTGTAACTACAACTAAACCCACCTGGGGAATGTGGCGACGGGGCTTTGTTGGTTTGGACTGCTGAACAGCCAAGAACTCATGTGGTATCGCGTCAACTGGGTTGGGCGGCTTGTTCTTAAAGGCCAGTATCCGGGTCCGATTCATGTTGAAAGTTTCTGACAGTTGCTTCTGGTATGCCTCCCTAGATGGTGAGCTCACAGCTGGATTCTCTTTGCCTTTCCGCCCTTCAGTCAGCATGAAATGAGCGTAATCAAAATCCATTGCTGATCGGTTTGGTATAAATCTATCCAACTGTTGGTACCAATCCAGGAAGACAGAAATTCACAATAAATTTTCAAAAGTTGTATTAACTTAAGAACATGGCTGAAGAAATCAACAGCTAAACAAATCCTAGCTTCAGAGATATCAAATTGTAAACAACACCCAAGTTTTAAAAAACCAATCAAGAATAAATCCTTGTGTCAAATCAAATAAAGATCCCTAGTTTCAAAATTGATTCAAGAATGAAAAAAAAAAAAAAAACCGTAGTTCCAAGTATCAAATCAAGAACGAATCCTAGTTTCAGAAATCCAATCGAGGTCAATCAAACCCTAATTTGGTGAAATCAAGTCACCCTAGATTCGAAATCTGGAACGCAAACCCCGAATTCATAGTAAATATTTGAAAAATAAAAAATAAAAAATACGACAACCACTGATAAATTGCATACATTTTCTCGAGAATTTCTCTTTTGAAGAAGTTGTTCTTGAAGGGGGTATCGAATTTGAGTCTTTCCTGTTGAAGAGTTCATAGATCCTGAATCCATGAGGGACGTCCTGCAAAATTAAACACAAGAAAAAAAAAAACCTGCAAAGATAACAGACAAGACTAATCCTGAAAAGCAACTGTTAGATTAAAGAAACCAAATTAGGAAAAATAAAAAGGAAAACTTGAGAGAAAGAACACGAGGTCAAGCTCAATCCTGAAAACAAAGTGTTAGATTAAAGAAACAGTAAACAAGAAAAAAGAAAAAAATTGAGAAAGAACGCGATGTCGCTGGTGGCTTCGTTGATCGTAGAGAGAGAGAGCAATGAATTATATGAGAATCATGAAACGATTTGACAGGTTTATATATATATATATATATATATATATTTCATTGATAGAACTTGCTAGGGTTTTGTGTGTGTTTGTGAGATTGCAAGTTCGGTTCTTTCTCTTCCCATTTTGAAAAGCGGCGGCAACGGCTATGTTGTTGCTCAAATAGCCGTTGTAATGCAGTTTGACGAGAACACCCTCCCTTGCTTCAACTCTGGATGCAGTCTCACGGTCACGGACTATATGAATTGTTTGTTATTTTAATAAGATTTTGTATGTAAATTATTTATTAAAAAAATTTAAATTCATCTTATATTCGTAATTACATGACTTTACAATACTTGTTTTAAAAAATAAATAAAAGTATAATTTTAAAAAGGAAAAAATTATGATACACATCCCTCAAAAGGTGTGTATCATATATACCTATAAGTGCAGAAAAAAATGATATAATTTCATATTTTCTGAATCATAATTATAAAATATCTATATAATAAGGGAGACGGGTTTTTGAATTTGTGTGAAAATATACATTTCAATTCAACGGCTAAGATAAGTTGTTTTTAACCATTGAGGGTTGAGATGCTTTGTAATATTTTCAATTCCCGCCCAAAACAATCCCCTCTCTCTCCTGTGTTCCACCCACTCCAAACATTATTTGCACACTTCTCTCTCTCTCTCTCTCTCTCTCTCTCTCTCTCTCCAACTTCTCAGGTCTCAAACTCTGTCCTCAAAGATCTCTCTCTTCCTCTCCACCATTGAGTCGTCTCCACCGTCGCGCCGCTTCCGATCTCCTCTCCAACTTCTCAGGTCTCAAACTCTCTGTCCTTAGAGATCTCTCTCTTCCTCTCCCTCCTCTCTACTGTCGCTCTGCTTCCACCATCACGTCGTCTCCACCGATAGCAACTTTTCATCTCTTCTTCCTATTAGATCTCAACCCACTACGGCACCTCCGTCCTCCATCGCAGAGAAATTGTAAATCATCTATACCCATCTCTAATTTTTATTTTTTATTCTTAATTTTATATTTTTTGAATAAGGGAGAACAGTTTTTTTTTTCTTCTTCTTCTTCCAGTAATTTTTTTTTTCTTCTTCTTCCATTAATATTTTATAGATTACCATGTCATATTGTTGATTATGGTTTCATGTCTATAAATCGTGAACAACTTTTTTTTTTTTCTTCCATCTTTCTGTATCATTAATTTACATGATTTTGTTAGTTCTGTTAAGCCCAGTTAGAAGAAAACATGTATCATCATCAATTCATATATTTCTGACAGCTGGTATGGAGATTTGGATTGAATTAAGAATATGATTTTCATAGTGTCAGTTTTTTAACTTAGTTTTGACAGTTTGGAGTTTATAAATTCAGATTCTTTGATATAACAGAAGTAATGGGCTTCGTCTATATTTATATTCTGTTTTAGACAATATTGGTTCTGGCTCGCATTTGTTATTTTTTTTTTTGATGTTTTATTAAGATAATTTGTGTGAATAAGCCATTTTAAGACAATTTTTTTCTTCTGATCTTAGTTTAAAACAGTTTGTCGTGTACTGATTTTTTTTCTTTTTTTTTTCCGAACAAGGTGTACTGACTTTAATTTGTGTGTATTAGATAATTAAATGCGTAATATATAGATATATATTGGTTTCTAGGTGTGGATTTGGGATGGGTGTTAGTGTTATACTCTAAAGATTTGTTCGGATCATATTTTCATGAATTGAATGATTTATATTATAGGATTTGTTGATTACATCATTTGCATAAAAAATCAAGTTAATGGAATAACTATAGACTCATGATCAAACTCCACTTTTTAAAAAAATTATCAAAATCATATTAACTATTTATTTTTTTAAAACATAAACATAATCTTATTATAAATTATAAATATATAATTAACCTAAATTATTTAATAGATCTACTATGCACTCATGTATAGCACCAATCCCAAATTCGTGTAGGTGTATGTAAGTGTGTGAGAATAATCTAAAACACATATTACACAGTGTGTGTGAATCTAAGACACGTACATTATTATTATTATTATTATTATAGTTGGGTTTTGATTGTTGTGAAATAGGATGATGAGTGACCATAAGGTGGAGAAGTTCTCTGTGGATTTTCATGGACCCAAAGACAGTAAATCATCTATACGCATCTCTGATTTTATTTATTTATTTATTTATTTTTGAATAAGGGAGAATGGTTCTTTTTTTATTTTTAATTTTACATTTTGTTTGAATGGCTGAGATTTTTTTATTTTTTATTTTTTGAATACGGGAGAACGGTTTTTTTTTTTAAATTTATTTTTAATTTTATATTTCATTTGAATTTTCCTGTTTAAGTCATTTTATATTTGAATTTTACATTTTATATTTTCCCTTATTATATAAATTCAAAAACCCTCTTCACTTACTTGACAATATGCTAAACACGTTTTTTTATTTTATTTTACTATTTTTGTTGAATTTTCTTTCTTTTGGGTCAAAAAATAAGTTTTTGTTAAAGTTTTCATTGCCTAAGTTGCAATACATTTGCATAAGTTTTTTCTTGAATGACCTTATCTTTTTCTTTCTTTCTTTCCTTTTGGGCCCATGATTTTATTATTGGTATTTATTGCAGAGGTGCAATTTTTTAATGGACCTATTTTGAATGAAGTAACTTTCCATACATTTTGGTGATTTTTTATTATAGAGCCAATGCAAATAATGCTTATTTTGAATTTTGTCTGGGAACATTTTGTTTTGCTCTGAAGTCTATTGTGTAGTATTCTGCTTTGCTTAATTTGATGGAAGGGTTGTGATGGTGAGGTAGTGGCAAATGGTTGTGTTCAAGAAATATTGTATAAAGTTCTAACACAATTGATTCTTATGCTATGAATGAGAATAATATACAAATGAAGCATTGATTCTGATGATTGCTCATCAATGTTTGTATGCATATTTTTGTACATGGTGCAGCTCAATTCTACAATATTTCGTGTATTTAGAACTAGACAGGCCTAAATAGTTGTCCTGAAAAATGTATTAGGTCCGAGAGAAGGTTGAGAATTATAAGAAGTATAAAGTGATTAAGCATAATATTATATTGTGAATTCAATAGTTTTAAACTGCACTTATCGTCAGATGATTTTCTGTGAGAGCTGTCATAGGGGCATCCGTCAATGGCAAAGCCCCGGAAGTGACTTATAAACGATGCATGAGCCCAAATGATTTTAGTTTTTCCACCATTCGTGGCCCAACTATCTCTGTCCCATATAGTTGCCATTAGTTGCATTGGTTCTGTTGAGAAGCCAACTCCATCGCGTCTGTTGTTCTTGAAAACTCGAATGGGATATTCATCAACAAAATAACTGTTGGGGGGAAAGGCGATTAACAAAATAAGTTAGAACTCTAACAGATTGTGATTTAAGGAGTGATATCATTTTCAATTTCGATGTTTTTGTATTTTTCAAAAACAAAAATAATGGAAAGTCTGAAAATCTCAAAATAAATGAATAAATAAATTTCATCTTTGTGTAGACATATTTAAAAGACAACAACTAACCGCCCGCACTTTTATTTATTTATTTATTTTTGAATAAGGGAGAATGGTTCTTTTTTTATTTTTAATTTTACATTTTGTTTGAATGGCTGAGATTTTTTTATTTTTTATTTTTTGAATACGGGAGAACGGTTTTTTTTTTTAAATTTATTTTTAATTTTATATTTCATTTGAATTTTCCTGTTTAAGTCATTTTATATTTGAATTTTACATTTTATATTTTCCCTTATTATATAAATTCAAAAACCCTCTTCACTTACTTGACAATATGTTAAACACGTTTTTTTTAATTTTATTTTACTGTTTTTGTTGAATTTTCTTTCTTTTGGGTCAAAAAATAAGTTTTTGTTAAAGTTTTCATTGCCTAAGTTGCAATACATTTGCATAAGTTTTTTCTTGAATGACCTTATCTTTTTCTTTCTTTCTTTCTTTTTGGGCCCATGATTTTATTATTGGTATTTATTGCAGAGGTGCAATTTTTTAATGGACCTATTTTGAATGAAGTAACTTTCCATACATTTTGGTGATTTTTTATTATAGAGCCAATGCAAATAATGCTTATTTTGAATTTTGTCTGGGAACATTTTGTTTTGCTCTGAAGTCTATTGAGCATCTCCAATGCACTAGGCACATAATACTTGTTAGTTAAAATACCTAGTATGATTCACTTTTTTCAATTCCAATGCACTAGGCATATGATTAGGCATTTTGGCTCAACTCATTTTCACTAGCTACATGTAGCTAGCCTTCAACGCTAGGCAAAATGTATTCAATCATTAGGATCATTTCCCTCCATCTTTGTTGTTGACGTGGAATTTTATAAAATTAATAGTATTTGGATAAATAGCTAAAATAAAGAGCATGGTTGGAGTAAAAACATAAAACAGTTGATAGGCAAAATAAAATATATACTTTATAGTAATATTCAGATAGGTAAAATGCCTACTACCGTTGGAGATGCTCTAATATTCTGCTTTGCTTAATTTGATAGAAGGGTTGTGATGGTGAGGTAGTGGCAAATGGTTGTGTTCAAGAAATATTGTATGAGGTTCTGACACAGTTGATTCTTATGCTATGAATGAGAATAATATACAAATGAAGCATTGATTCTGATTATTGCTCATCAATGTTTGCATGCATATTTTTGTACATGGTGCAGCTCAATTCTACAATATTTCGTTTATTTAGAACTAGAAAGACAGGCCTAAATAGTTGTCCTGAAAAATGTATTAGGTCCGAGAGAAGGTTGAGAATTATAAGAAGTATAAAGTGATTAAGCATAATATTATATTGTGAATTCAATAGTTTTAAACTGCACTTATCGTCAGATGATTATGTAATAGGAAAATAAAGGGCTATTATCACTGTGGGCATTCTGGGGGATATGTTGGGTGTTTAGTTCTGTCATTGCAGTAATCATAGTACATATAATTGTGCTTTATGACTTGATCTCTTCTTTCTTGGTCAAGAGACAGTTACCAGTAATTCTTTCCATTCCACCAGAACTTGGAAGGATTGCATGATTTTCTGTGAGAGCTGTCATAGGGGCATCCGTCAATGGCAAAGCCCCAGAAGTGACTTATA